TTACAGGTGTAGTACCACAGTGCACCAGAGATTGCTTTTCCGATTCCCAAATCACTTTCCAATGTAAAAAAGAAAAATAAAAAAGTTTCAAAGGGCTGAAGGTTTAGCTTAGTGGAAGAGTGCTTGCTTAGCTTGCATGTGAAGCCCTGGGCTGGTTCCCCAGCACCAAAAAAATAAACAAATACACATATACACACATACATACATAAACACACACACACACACACACACACACACACACACGTCTATATGTACAAATATATATTTAAAGAATGCATTTCTCCCTGGGCACGGCGGCACATGCCCAAAATCCCAGCAGTTTGGGAGGCTGAGGCAGGAGGATTGCAAGTTCAAAGCCAGCCTAAGCAACCTAGCGAGACCCTATCTTTAAATTAAAAATAAAGGGCTGGAGATGTGGCTCAGCGGTAGCGCGCTCGCCTGGCATGCGTGCGACCCGGGTTCGATCCTCAGCACCACATACCAACAAAGATGTTGTGTCCGCCGAGAACTAAAAAATAAATATTAAAAATTCTCTCTCTCTCTCTCGCTCTCCTCTCTCACTCTCTCTTTAAAAAAATAAATAAATAAATAAATAAAAAATAAAAAGGCTGGGGATGTGGCTCTGTGGTTAAGTGCCCCTGAATTCAATCCCTGATATGGGGGAGGGGGGGCKGGGGGAGAATCCTCCTACATCTRAAATAGGTTATAGCTCTTAAATTTGATTTCAATAGTTCATTCTCAAACTCCACCAGAAAACCATTTTAATTACTCACTAAAGTCCTCACTAGTTCTGAAAGAAAGAAAATAACCGCATACAGCAATGCTCAGTACTTCTTCTATACTTAAGGCCTGACTATGATATGAGTACCAAAAATTCCTTTTGGGGGAAGCACAGGGGTTGGGAGGGATAACCAGGGATTGAATCCAGGGGCACTTAATCACTGAATCACATCCCCAGTCCTTTTTGAGACAGGGTCTCACTAAATTGCTGAGACTGACTTTGAACTTGCAATCCTCCTGCCTCAGCCTCTCAAGTCACTGGGATTACAGTAAGCACCTCCATGCCCAGCAGTCCAAACTCTTTCTATTAAAACTTGAAAGTGATGACTGTAAGTAGATTATTCCAAACACTAATAACTTTAAGATTTAATCACCTTCTAAGACTGAAAGTTTTTTCCTATTAAAAAACTATTTTACCTGCAGCAACAATAGCTGACATGTCATTACAATGTGTCAAGCTCTGCCCTGGGCATGAAACATAATTACTCACTGAATTCCATTCAATTGTTCTGTGAGCATGGGAAATTTTACCACTCCCATTTTAGGGATGAACAAATTTGAGACTTTTACAAGTTCAATGATTAGCTCAAAGTTACACAGCTGCTAAGTGGCAGGGTCCAGGCTCAAGACAGATCTAGATGACACTTAAGCCCCTGCTCTTTTTTGTTTCTTTTTGGTTATACATAACATTAGAATTCATTTTGACATAATTTTAAAAGTATGGAATATAATTTGCTCAAATTCAGTCCCCATTATATCCCCTTTCTCTCCCCTCTTCCCTCTCCTTGTTCCCTTCCCTCAACTCTACTGATCTTTCTGATATTTACTTCTAGACTTTATTTTCTTTTTTGTTAGTGTCTTATGGGTATAGATGATGGTGAGATTTACTGTGGCATATTCACAATATACAAAAAGGTTAGATTAATTCATTCCTCTGTTCTTTTCTTATCTCATCTCTTCTTCCTCCCCCTCAGTCCTGTTCATTTAGTCCACTGGTCTTCCTTTTTTTTTTTTTTTGATGGAATTCTCCACCCCATTCCCTCTCCCCCACCCCGACTCCTTATTTTGTACTAGCTTCCACATATCAGAGAAAACATTCAACCTTTGGCTTTCTGAGTCTGGCTTATTTCACTTATGTGATACTTTCCAGTTCCATCCATTTACCAGCAAATGCCACAATTTCATTCTTTATAATCCCCTGCTCTTAACCACTATCTTCAGCTAAAGTATAAACTCCCTTTCTATATGATGTCATTTACTTCATACTGGTTTCCTTTATTGAGAAAGGAAGCCTTGAAACAAGTAAAGTTCTAATTTTAATAGCATTTCAACATCTACTTAAAAAAGAAAACCTAAAACTTTAATTTCAAAATCTCCTGAAATGCCAATCCAACAATAAATTTTATGATGTCAATTTTTTACCCCATATTTCAACCTTTTTTTTTTCCCTAAGCTCCACTGGGGGGGCAGGGGGGGGGACAGTTGGAGAGGAAAAAAATCATTCCCAAAGCTTAAATTCCAAGTTTCTGTGCTTGGCAACTATAACTATACTGTGCTTTGGGACCTTAAAATTATAAGCACAGATCTCAGAGGAGAACATTTCCTTTATTAGCAATTGGCTTTGAAAATTCCATTCTAGGATGCTAAATATAACAATACCCCTCCTGACTTTTATAAACACATTCTTCAGATTATTTTGATACTAGTGATTTTCTATTTACAAGATAGCTTTGCCACAACAATTAAGCAACTGTAGCATTTTGAGGAATCTTTCAAACTTGTTCTAGCTCTTTTAAAGAAGTGACCTGAAAAATTGTTCTCTGGATTTTTCTATGAAATAAGAAAGTTCCGATTTCACAATTCATTTCTCTAGAAAGACACCCTTATTTTGTTATTTCTAATGTCCTTGGATTATAACACAAGGATATTGGTAGGGTTTTTTTTCCAAGTTATAAAACAGAACAAATGCAACTTTTAAAAACACTTTATACACTCAAAGTCAAATAAATGTACCCTTATTTTAAAATCCCATATGTGATAATTCAGAAATAATGATGGGGAGAGAAACTGTTTTGCTCTGGGTAATGGACTAGCTTTTCTTTTCTCTTTCTTTCTTTCTTTCTTTCTTTCTTTTGTAATTGTAGATGGACAGAATACCTTTACTTTATTTGTTTATTTTTATGTGGTGCTGTGGATCAAACCCAGTACCTCACACATGCTAGGCAAGCACTCTTCCACTCAGCTATAGCCCCAGCACTACATCGGGCTTTTAACAGAAGGCATAACTGCTGCTGCTGCATTTTAGAGAATGGTAAGCACCTAGTGGACCTCATGACCCAGGCGTCCTTTCATTGTATAAGTAGTTCCAAGTACAGTTGTAATTATTAAGGCACCTTTAGCTGGACAGCTCCTGGAGTCCTCCCTACCTAAAACATGAATGTGAAAAATTAAGAATCAACTGGCACTTTATCTTTGGAGGATGGATCCAAGGAGTGGAGAGGGTAAAATTTTTGTTTCACCTCATAATCCCTGGACTGTTTTTGTTTTGCTTTACCATATCTTGTTATTACACTTAGCTTTTCAAAAATACACCCTCACCAGCTATCATCCTTCTCCCTCTTCTCACAYCTTCTTGGTCCACAGAATCCCTTTAACACCAAGCATGAGCTCATCCTTAAACAAGGGTACAGTACCTTCAAACACATGAACACTCACCAACCAGGATGAGTACAGAGTTGTTTGGGACTAAACCAGGATATTCACCTGAAGGAGTAAACTGCAAAGTACCTTATCTTTGCAATGAACTCCTGAATCTGTATCCCGAGCCCTAAATTTTCTCCAATATATCCTAAACATCAAAATGGACAGTCTCCTTGGATGATCCACTCTACACAATAACAAGAGAGTCGTTTTTTAAAAAWTTTTTTTCATGAGAGCATTCCTCCTTGTAAAACTATTCTATTGACATCCTGTCAACAAATCATGTAATCACTTCCTTCCTGATTTCCCTTTCCTTCAGTAATCAAAAAGTACAGGCTACATGAGTGGGTGCTATGGAGCTAGTTTAAGGCAACAGGGATTGCTAAGGAATAGATGACCCTCAGCTCCAGACAACAATTAATCAGGTGAGGATGTGATAGCCCATTCTCCAATAATCCAAAAAGAGAAAGAAATTCTGATTGTTAAGAGAGATCTTCTGATTTTTAAGAGAACATGTTGGTCAAAGAAAACATCTGCAGGTCACCCACAAACAATCCCTGACCCCCGACTTAAGCAGTCTCCATCATTCTGATTCAGGCTCCCCCTGTCTATTCTACACATCACTGAATGATCATTTTCCAAGCACAGTGCTCCTGGGCTGGGGATGTAGCCCAGTGGTAGAGTGCTTGCCTAACGTGTAAAGTCCTGGGTTCCATCCCCAGACACTGGAGGGAAACAATAATAATTTCTTTTTGCTCCTGACCACTACTAACTTGAAAAGCATAAATATTACCGCAAAAATCCCAAATCTTCATGTCGTCATTCAACGTTCACAGTAACACAACCACCTTCACCTTCAACTTCCCTACGCAAACCTCACATTTAAATCAAAGGAGTCCACCCCTCTTCCATCTCACCCCGCAACCGGTTGTATCCCCGCCAAGATGGCCTCCTTCTTTACCCCATCAAAGCCCACATTTGGCTCAGGAAACAACCCTTTGGAAGTAGACCCTCCAACACCTGCTAACAGGCTGGTTCACTGCGTGAGTCAAGACACCTCTCTGATCAAAGCCAACAGGATTTAACTTTCAAGAAGGGATTTAAATCCCCCAGAAGACAAATCCTATGGCCTTGTCTCGATTTCCCCACCCCAAATAACATTTTTAACAAGAGCAATGAGCCTGAAGTCGTGCTGAAAGGAGCCTCCTGTCGGAGAAGGCTCTGCGGGGTCTCGAGTCTCCTCACCCAGGAAGGCCTCAGGGAGGTGGGGGATGCCCCAACCAGCCCTGCGAAGCAGGCAGCCGTGCGCAATCTCTGCGCGCTCCTCCTTACGCCCCCAGGGTACCATCCCCAACCCGATCCACAGCCGTGMCCTGCAATGGCCCTGGAGGACCCTCAGTGCTGCCCAGGCCCAATGCTCTCGGCCGCGACAAAGGGTCAGAGAGCCGGACCACCCCGCTGCGCGCGCTCCCCGCGGGCCTCCGCTGCCCGGGCCGCGCCCACCCGGACGCTGCCGCTACCTTGTCCTCAGGCGGCGAGTCCGGCTCGCGAACCGCTCTCTGCCTCAGCTCCGTCATGCTGGAGATCCCGGCGCGACGTAGCCACTGGCGAGCAGCGCAGCCGCCGGGGCGTGCAGCTCAGCTCAAGCACGCGCGGACTCCTTCGGCCAAGCTCGCTCGCTCGCCCGCCCGCCCGAGCAGTCCGCAGCTCAGCAGCGGCTCGCAGGCCCCTCCGCAGCCCCGTCGCCAGCCCTGGAGCTCCGCCCAGCTTCTCCGCGGCTCTTCCACCGGAGCCGAGAGGACCCGGCCTTCCCAATCGCTCCTCCTCCAGGGAAGAGTTTCGGAGAGAGCGCGCACGCGCACGGCCGCCATCTCGGCCCGGGAGATCCGCCAATAGCGAGAATACACTAGGCAGGCGGGGCAACGGGGCGGGGCGGAGCGGAACGGAGCAGAGAGACGCTCATTGGACAGCACCATCAGGGGGCGGGGGAAACGTGCCTTTCAGAGCGAGATTAGCCAATGGAAACTCCCGCCTAACCGCGAACGTACCTGTTCCGGCGTTCTAGGTCCTGAAAGTAAATGGTTATTGAGGGCAAGAAGCGCCCCCCAGAGGGTCTAGCCCGCAAGAATTCACTGCGCGGGGGTTCCTGGCTTACTTAAGAACCCATCTGTCAGACCTTAAGCGGTGAGGCTTCGTGAGCCAACCTGGTTACGAGGAGGGAATCACGTGAAAATAAAGWGAAACCCAAACTGAAGTCTGTCGTGCATTGCCAAGCAGTCTCTAGGTATGCATTGAGCTGAGTGGGCTATAGTTGGTTTATCTTGTTTAAGCCACACATCACTTGGCAATGGATGTGATTTTCATTTTACAAGTAAGATCATCTTCAGTGTTTCAAATTTGTTATGAGGTTTTGGTCTTGGTTTTGGTCCTGGGGATTGAACATAGGGCCTACTGAATGTTAAACTTAGGCTATATTGTTGAGCTATCCCCTCAGCCACTGGATTGTTGTTAAGACCAGTTTGGAAACAGGAATGCGGCCTTTTTTTTTTTTTTTTTTAACTGAGGGTCCCCTATGTAGCTGACACATCCCAAATACTTTTAAAATTTTTTTAATTGTTGATGGACCCTTATTTAATTCATTTATTTATATCCGGTGTTGAGAATCGAACCCAGTACCTTACATATGCAAGGCAAGTGCTCTACCGCTGAGCCACAACCCCAGCCCCCTAAATATTTTTTGAGTGGAATTAAAACTTATGAAGGAAAATGACTTAACCAAGGCCTACCTGGTAGAAAATGCCCAATAAGGAATACAATTCAGAATACAAGCTAACCAATGTACATACTGCCTGCCTGAATTCATGAATAGCTGTGTTGCTTGGGCATCACCTTCTATGCTTCCTACTTGCTTCTTTGCAAACAACGCAAAACACGAGTTCTCTAGCCTTAATCGTATTGTAATCTAACAATGAGAAAAACTTGCCTTAGAGAAGTTGCAATTTCCTGTTTATAATTTTGACCTGAGCTGTGTGGCATTTGGGGAAAGAAATTGAAGTGGTAACTCCTTCCTAGAAGTTTCTTTTTTATCTCTGTTAATAACTGCAACCTGCTAGTTTGCTTCTGTATTCATGCTTGCTCAGCAGCTGTGGCAGGAACCACAGCTGCTTGGAAAGAGTGAAAGGAAATCAAGGCTACTTGCATGGGGAAGTCTTGAAACCTGGTAGGATGTTCTGTATAAAAGATAATAAGAACAAAGAACTGTCTTCAGCCTTGAAAAAGACTCCACTGAGCCCACACCAGTGCTGAATAAACCTTGCACTTCTATATACTTCCAAGGGCCACTTGTCTCTTTCCAATGCCATAAAGATTTTCCATATTTTCAGTAACAAAATGAGAATTCTGGGGCTGGTGATGTGGCTCAAGTGGTAGCGCGCTCCTCTAGCATGCGGGCGGCCTGGTTCGATCCTCAGCACCACATACCAACAAAGATGTTGTGTCCTCCGATAACTAAAAAATAAATATTAAAAAAAAATGAGAATTCTGAAAAAGGCATTATATAATTCCGATTTCTTTCCCCTCTGCCCCCATCCTGCCTCCTGGAGATTAAACCAGGCAAAAGCCCTACCACTGAGCTACTTCCCCCTTCCCCAGCCCTCCTCCCCTACTTCCTTTCGCTTTTTGACAAAGGGGCTCCAAAATTGTCCAGAGAGGCCTCCAACTTGCAATCCTCCTGCCTCAGCCTCCCACATAGTTGGTATTACAGGCATGAGCCACCAAAACCATCACATATTCCTGATCTCCATAAGAGTATATTCCCCAAGGGCTGGGGCTATACCTCAGTGGTAAAGTGCTTGCCTTGAAAGTGTGAGGCACTGAGTTCGACCCTCAGCACCACATAAAAATAAATAAAGATATTGTATATTCATCTACAACAAAATTAATATTTTTTTAAAAAGAGTATATTCCCCAATTTTTGAAACAGTGCTTTTAACAAATTTGAAGGTGCCCTGAACTCTGAACTTTGTTTTCTATTTTAAAACGTTGCACAACTACTAGAATAGTGTTTTGTTTGTTTATTATACTGGGATCAAACCCAGGTCCACTCTGCCACTGAGCTACATCCTCAGTCCTTTTTGTAAAAGTTTTGTTTTGAGACTCATGAGGCTGAAGCAGGAGATTTCCAAGTTCGAAGTTAGGCTCAGCAGTTTAGTGAGGCCCAAAGCAATTTAGCAAGACCTTGTCTCCAAATTTAAAAAATTTAAAGGACTGGGGATACAGCTCAGCGGTAAACCACTCTTGGGTTCACTCCCCAGTACAAAAAAAAAAAAAAAAAA